GGGCAGTGGCCTGGGGCCCCTGGGTGGGGATTCGGGGCAGCTCCGGACCTGGTGGGGCTGGGCCCTCTGTGTTCAGTGTTGGCACCACCCTGCCTGGCCCTCCCCCCTCGTCTCCTGGCCCTGGGGCAGCAGTGGGCGTAGTGGGTGCCCAGCAAGTGCCCTGTAGACCTGCCTCCTTGAGCCCCCACCCGGCCACCATCCCCCCACTGAGCTCAGGGATCCCTGACTGCACCCCACTCCCTCCCCCGTGGTGCTTGTCAGGAACATTCGCAGCTGCCGCATCTGCCCGCCTGTCATTCTGGCTGGCAAGTGCTTAGCAGACACAGTGGAGCCGCCTCTTGCCAGGTTTGGATGGTGCAGCCACCGGGAGGTGCCCCCACCTGTGGGCCCTGCCTGAGCCTCTGCTGGTCGATGCTCCCAGGAGCCCCCTGGGCCTCGGCAGCTTATTCCGGGGCACACACGGCCGCAGCGGGCATCCCTCACCTGCCTTCCTCCACCCACTTGTTTATTCTGGTCCTCCCTGCAGACGGCAGGGGTCCGCCAGGCCTGGGCGGGCAGGGCAGGCTCCTCCGCCCTCCGTCCCTGCCCGGGCTGCTCCTGGGGACCCCTGACCGCGGGTTCTGTGCCCACAGTGCCAGAGAAGCCCGAGCCAGTGCCGCTGGAGAGCCGCTCCTGTGTCCTCATCCGCCGTGACCTGGTGGCCCTGCCCGCCAGCCTCATCAGCCAGATCGGGTACCGCTGCCACCCCAAGCTCTACTCGGAGGGCGACCCCGGCGAGAAGCTGGAGCTGGTGGCAGGTGAGGCGCCCCCCGGCCCGTGGGTGCCGATGCCGCTGGTCACTTCCTTCAGAGCCAGGAACAGTGTCCTCATTGTCATCCGTCAAAAGGAAAGATAGAGCGTCTTCTGCTTCCTCTAATTTCCTTTCGGAAGAATGTGCCATTGAGGGGGGTTAGTCCGTTGCACTAACTTAGCATTTTAATTGAATCTCCTGGGCTGGGCTGGCTTCTGATTGGCAGGGCCGGCAGCCATGATGGTGGCGCAATTTAGGTCGGAGAGAACCAAGTGGAACACAGTTTGGAACCCCCCACCCAGACCCCCGACCCCCAGAGTGCCCCCGACCCCCAGCGTGCCCCCTGACCCCCAGAGTGCCCCCCGGCCCCCAGCATGCCCCCCGACCCCCAGCCTGCCCCCCGACCCCCAGAGTGCCCCTTGCCATGTCTGCAGGGTGAGGTCCAGGGCTCTGAGCCAGTCAGAAGCCCATCAGGGCTGTGTCTTTGTCAGAGTATTTATCTTTTATTTTTTTATTGATTTCAGAGAGGAGGGGAGAGGGAGAGAGAGAGAAACATCCATGATGAGAGAGAATCATGGATCGGCTGCCTCCTGCACGCCCCCCATTGGGGACCAAGCCCACAACCAGGGCCTGTGCCCTTGACTGGAACCGAACCCGGAACCTCCTGGTTCCTAGGTCGACGCTCACCCCCTGAGCCAGGCCGGCCGGGCAGTATTTATCTTTTCAGGGGGGTTTGCTCTTGGGCTGTCAGGCTATTGGGGGGAAGACGATGCTGATGGCATGCAGCCCTTCCAGGGTCCTCTGCCCCCACCACCTCGGGCGTCTGCATCTCGCGGCGCCAAGCCAGGGAGTTCCCTCGAGGCTGGGAGGGTAGCCAGGGACCGCCCTTGAGGAGTCACGAGGCTGCCTCCCAGGTGACGGGGCCTCAGGGCCTTGGGGGCCCCAGGCCTGGGCAGGCCCTGCTCACAGCTCAGGAGGCCCCCACTGCCCCCCCACACTCATCACAATTCGGGGCAGAGGTCACGGACATTGTGCTGGCCTGAGCCGCGGCCAGGCCTTCTCTGGTGGCCACCGACGGCCAGTGCACCCTCCCTTCCTGGCCCTGGGCGGAGGGCCGTGCCCACTCTGGGGTGGAGGTGAGCGAGGGAGACAGAGT